ATATTATAAAGATAAATATTTTTGTATAAATCTTTTGTTAATTTTTTCTGAGAAAATAAGAAGAGAACCAGCTCTCTCAAAATATCTTAAATTATAAATTTAAATATTTTATTTTTAAACACTATTAACTTGAAAAAACTAATTTTTTGACTTTTCGTAATTAGGTACTCACGTAACGTTTAATATGTATTTGTTAAATTCAGCATTTTTTTATTATTATATATAATTGCGCAGTAATTAAAATAATAATATATAATAGATATATGATATATGGAAGAATTCGCGCTTAACGGTGATTCGTCTTCGAGCGAGAGCGACGATCTGCTTCTATGCGCGTTCGATAATATCGTAACGTATCGCGATTTCGACAGCGATATCAGTGGTGACGATCGTTGCGAGTCGGTTACCGGTAGTGACGATAGTTTAGAGTGTTACGAGACTATCGCGTCTAGTAACGACAAGGAGTGGATCGCAGTGAGAGAGGACGTTCGCTGGAACGTGGCCACGTATCACCTGCGACGAGAGACGGTAGAAAGCCCGCGAGAGAAACTGTGGATCGAAACGTTGCTCGCTCTGAGCGATAGAGCAGTGATCTGCGAAAGAATAGCGAGAGAGAAAGAAATTCGAGACGTTAAATTCGTCGTTCCTACGGACGGTCGGGGTAACACCATGTGAGGGTCGCAATATGGAGAAGAGTCATAGTTTTCTCGAGTGCACGGCGGGAGTTGAAGGAGTCTATCGCGTTTGGGAACGGGAGTACGTCGAGTGTCTCGAGGTTTTGAAAAACAGATGCGAGAATAGAGTCGATCCTACGGTTACCGGAACGATAAATTCTCTGGTCTCTCGAATAATGCAGTTGGAGGGTGCGAGATTCGCTTTGAGTTAATGTTTCAGTTATTCGGGTGCAGAGTATGATGGTTCAAAGGGATTCGAGTGGGTGGATATCGAGACGGCCTTCGCGAATCGCGTACAAACAGGTACGGTGGTAAATATTGAGTACGTCAAACCCCGACGGTTTCTTGAGGACGCGAGAGAGACACAGTGCTTGAGCGAGTGCGCGTCAATCTCGATATGCACACATGTTTGAAAATCAACACAGTGTTTCACGGGTAATTCGTCGCAAATAATAAGAGCGCTGTTAAGAGCATTCGCACGAGGAATCGTCAGCTATTCGATATATCCGGTCTACGAGAATGGTACGACAGAGATATTATGGATGGATTATTTTGACGTCGCTGAAGGAATTTCAAGAACGTGACAGCGGTTGGACGTTACTTCGGATATTAAATTTGATTATTCAATGTGGACAAGTGTAATGCACGTTGGATGTTATTTCCTCTGAAGATAAGAGATAAGAGAGCCGTAATCAATGTACGTTCAAACGACAACGCGTGCTTCGTGTGGGCGCTGATGACCCCTCTGTATCCCGTCGATTTACACCCGGAGACACCTTCGTCGTATCCTTACTATTCGATGGTGTTGAATTTCGACAGTATCGACTTTCCTACGAAAGTGACACTACGAAAAATCGCTCGATTCGAACGTCTTAACGATTTGTCTATTAACATATTTGTCATTCGAGAGAAAAGGGAAAGGAATATCATGATCGGTATCATGATCTTTCCCTTGTTGCTCACGGGGAACAAGAAGTCTACGCATGTGAATTTGCTCTATCTGTCGAACGAGTCGCGCGGCGATAACGTCGGTCACTTCGTATGGATAAAGCACCTGTCTCGACTGTTGGCATCCCAAATAAACAGGCAGAAAAGGAGAAAAAGTACATATGCGATCAATAGTAGAAGAGAGAGACTATGCTCGTTCGAAGTAAATTTTATATTAATTATGTAACGGTGCATCCCTGCGCGCTCGGATTTTTTGTCGCTAGGCACGGACGCGGAGACGTGCGCTCGGATTTTCACTCGTCGGATGCCAGGTTCGTATCGGTATGCGTGTTGCCAGGCAACCGGGCGTGTGCGTTGCTAGGCAACCGTTGACGCTAGCCGTGACACGTGGGGCGGACGTCGCGGGAAAGTCCGAGAACGCTCCGACTTTCGAGATGAGATGGAGTGACAATACTGAGAACTCTCGATATTGTCGAGAGGAGGAAAATCTGAGAACCCTCCGATTTTCCCCAGACGGGAGATGCAAGAATATCGAGAACGCTCGGTATTCGTTGCGAGGGCGAGAAAGCTGAGAACACTCCGAATTCTCGAGAAAGGATAGAACAGGAATACGGAGAACGCTCGGTATTCGCTGAGAGAATTTTCTCTCGCTGTTCTGGTCGGAATGGTTGTCGGTGTTGGACAGGTCGGAGGAGCGGATGGGACTGGTCTCTCGTCTTAAAATTCGTCGGGTATTTATACCCCTATCCGCGCCACGTGTCACCGTTTAGTTGGTTAGCGTTTGTTAATGTAACAATAGCTGTCACGTTGTCGCTGCGTGACAGCTCGTCGGCGCGCGTGTGTCGGTCAGTCGCGGTCGGGAGTGTTCGGGCGGCCTCGGATGGCGCGGGCCGCATTTGCACGCGCTAGTAACAGAGCATCTTTCGGATGCTCTGTTACAATTATAAATCGTTTTTTTCAGATTCTGCATTATTTTTATTCGAACGAGAAATTGGTCGCGCATAGCGTCGAATGCGGAAGAGCGAACAACTGCGCCGTTATTCTCCTGAGCGAGGATGATAAGTGGCTCTCCTTTCGTAATCATAACAGAAAGGAGAGATTCCGATTCATCGTGTACGCCGATCTGGAGTGCATTTTAGAAAAGGGAGATCGGTTCGCGGGGAATCTCGACAATAGATTCGCCTATCAACATCACAAGGCGTTCAGCGTGGAATATTATTTGCGTAGCACGTATAACAGAATCGTATCCGCATATAGATCTCGTCGCAGCGACGACTGTGTCTCGTGATTCGTCGACGAGTTACACGCCCTTGCGTGTCGCGTGAGAAAGGTTCTCTGCGCGAGCGTACCGATGTCGGAACTCACGCCGGACGAGCGGAGCGATTTTCAAAGGGCGACAAATTGTCACGTGTGCGGAAGGATCTTTGGGCCACATGACGTTCGCGTGCGCGATCATTGTCATCTTACCGGACGTTACAGAAGACCCACGCATGCGAGCTGCAATTTGAACTATCAGAATGCATTCGTTATTCCCGTATTCTTTTACAATCTATCCGGTTACGACACGCATTTTATTATCAAGGATATAGCGAATGCTTTCGAGGGTAGACTTGTTACCGCTGACTAAGGAGAACTACATCGCGTTTTCGAAAATCGTCAACGATTCAGTGTACGAAAAAATTACGTTAAGTTACGTTCGTAGATTCATTTAAGTTTCTCAATACCAGTCTAGAGAAATTAGCTTCGTATCTAGATCGGAAAAAATTGAGGATCGCGCGATTCGAATTCTCCGGTCTCGTCGCAGAGGATTTCGAGTTGCTCACGCGCAAGGGCATATTTCCGTATGAGTACGTCGACAGCGTTGATAAACTATTAGAGACCGAGTTACTGCCGAAGCCTTTCACAGTTTTTTAAGTGATGAAACTGTGAGCGCTAGCGATTACGAGCACGCGCGAAGAGTATGGGAGCGTTTTCGCGTGAGGACTCTCGGCGAGTACAGCGATCTGTATTTGAAAACGGATATGCTTCTCTTGGCGGATGTTTTTGAAAATTTTCGGGACGCCTGTACGGAGAATTACGGTTTGGATCCAGCGCGATTATTTCACGTTACCGGGATATACGTGAGATGCTATGTTGAAATACACGAATGTTCAATTCGATCTGCTTATCGATATAGTGTTGTTCGTAGAGCGCGGTATACGCGGTTTGAATCAATACTCGAATAGATACGCACGACCTAACAACAATACGAATCGTCGTACGATTCGTCTCGATCGTCGTCATCTCATGTATTGCGATGTGAACAATCTCGGCTGGGTCATGTGCGAGCCCTTACCGTATGCGGAATTTCGGTGGGTCGAGGACGTCGAGAATTTCGACGTTATGTCCGTGCCACCTGACTCTGATATCGGTTATATTCTAGAGATCGATCTTGAGTATCCGCGATATCTTCACGATGACCACGCGGATCTTTCGTTCTGTCCGACGCGAGAAACCGCAGAAAAGCGAAATGAAAAGGGAGGATGTGCGTCACGGCGAGGCCCGACCACGAACCAGTCGTGAAAACTCGCAATTATTTTGCGAAAAAATACCACCTCAGCCAGGAATCGAACCTGGATCTCCTGCTTACCGGGCAGGCATCTTATCCTTTCGACTACCGAGGCATGTGATGATATTTATCGCAAATACGTATTTAGAATAACACGTCAACAATACAATGATACACACACACACACACACACATATATATATATATATATATATATATATATATATTACAATATACATATATACATGTATTCTTTCGAATCCCCACGACCGGTACTCCAGAGAGATGATGTTCCTATTCTCTCGAATGCACTTCACTCTTTCGTGTCGAGACTGACGTTTCTTATGTGCACCATCTCGCAAGTAGGAGCGGTAAAATCTACTTCACTACTCCACTAAGAGCTACTTGGTCCTTTGTTTCGTATAATAACTTTATGCATACTTATAGAATGAGCTATGACTGGTGTCATTTCATTTATGAAGGGGTAGTACTCCAGAGAGATGATGGTCCTATTCGCTACGCTCTACGACAAGTCGCGTTACGTGACGCACTATCGCAATCTTCAGCAGTGCGTGCGACACGGTTTACGCATGATGAAAGTCTATCGCGCGTTGCAGTTCGTGCAGTCTCCTTGGCTACGCGCGTACATCGAGCTCAATACGGAACGGAGAACTCGCGCGAGCAACGAGTTCGAGAAGAATCTGTATAAGTTGATGAACAACACGGTTTTCGGCAAGACTATGGAGAACGTGCGCGATCACGTAGACGTGAGGCTTGTGACGCGTTGGGACGGGAGATACGGCGCGAAGGCGCTGATCGCGAAACCGAACTTCCACAGCTGGAGCGTCTTCGACGAGAATCTCATGGCCGTCGAGTTGCACAAATTCGAAGTTAAGTTTAACAAACCGATCTACGTCAGTATATGCATTCTCGAAATATCCAAGATGCGTTTGTACGAATTTCATTACGATTATATGATTCCGCTTTATCGCTCTAAATACAAAATCATGTACATGGACACCGATAGCTTGATATATTTTCTGGAATGTCAGAACGTTTACAAAAATATGAAGCGGAATATCGCAAGATTCGACACAAGCGATTACTCCGACGACAACGCGTACGATAAACCCCGCGCGAACAAGAAGGTTTTCGGTTTAATGAAGGACGAGAACAATGGAGCGATTATGACAGTGTTCATAGGATTCAGGGCGAAAATGTACTTGAGAATTCTGGGAAAGAGTGATACGAAGAGAATAAAGGGCGTCAAGAGGAGTATCGTTGCGAAAACGATAATGTTCGAGGATTTGCGCGTTGCTTGAACGAATCGTCGCAGCAATCGAGACGTCAGGCGTGCGTACGAGGTTTACACCGTGTCCGAACTAAAGATAGCCTTGAGTCGTTACGACAACAAGCAATACGTAATACCCGATTCCACCGATACATTATCGTGAGGATTATAAGATACCGTTATCAGATACCAATATAATCAGATGTAATATAAATAATATAAATACTTTTACCAATGTAGAATAAGTAATCATTTCACGTAAGATATCTTTGTACTCTTTATTCATTACAATACAGTTTTATGTACCGTTTTATGTATGTTATATATAAGAGTTATGTGTATTGTCCATTCCTAACCATTTGACGAAAACCCTATCATCCTTTCTACGTAACACCTTTTCTACGAGATAGATATCGGGATTGGAAACTTGCAGTAATTGGTGTTTGTAGAATCCTCCGGCCACTGGCTCTCCGTGATAGTCTTTCAGCAGATACGTCACGAGATTCGTGCGTTGCACCTTGGCGATTCGAAAAATCTTGGTTGTCCATTTAGGCGTATATCCCTTTTCGAAATCGTTTTGAACTTGCTGACGCGTACCGAATCGTTCATCTTGAACTTCGCGGGGGCTGCGATCTTCAAGTGACTGTACCGTAGAGAGAAGTCTCTTGGCAACGGCGGGAGTTATGTCCGCTGGTCGCATTCCGATCGTTCAATGCACGCGATTGTTATACTCCGAGATTAAACGCGGTAGAGCGTCGAGCCATCTGTACGATTTGTTAAGCGTGAAGAGCCTTCACATGTCGTTCTTGAACGTGCGATTAAATCGCTCCATCACTGCTGCCTTCATCACCGAGTACGTCGAGTAGTGATATCGTATCTGTTCGTAACCGCTTTTACGGAGAAAGAGAGGTTGTAGAACTCTTTGTCCGTTTGTAGATTTCGCGGATGTTGAGCGTCGTTGCGAAATATCTTAGACAACGCCGCGGCTACCTCGCTTCCGCTCTTGCTCTTCAGCGGCACCATCCACGCGTACTTGCTCAACACGTCGATAACTGTCATCACGTAGTTGTAATCTTTGTTTTTGCGCGTACGGACGCATCTCGCCGACATCGGCCTGCCACAGGTTGTCGTAACCACAACGCGACGACGCGGGAAGTTTCTTCGCGCGGTGAAGCTCCTCTCCTCTTCTCGATGCTCATCGTTGATTTACGCGGAGGCGCGATTCGCGCTAGTTTTATTCGTGCTCGTCGTTTCGTGCATTCGCTCTTGTTCTTCGTTCCAAACGTTAATCGTGTTTCATGGTATTCGGGATATCCGTTTTTAGCGCGACTAGTAATTCTATCATTTCCCTAGTCATTTTATCCATGTTCAATGAAGCCAGCGTCTCTCTCGTTATCGCTTTGTCCATCAGTTCTCTCCTCATCAGATCTATCATGCTATCTATCATGCGCGAGATTCTCCACGTCCGTCGAGATCTTCTCGCGGGTCGTCAATGTCGCATCAAGCTCGTTTCGCAGGGATTCTTTTAGATTTCACAGGGATTCCTCTAGATTCCGCGTTTGTTTCTCCTGAGTGTCGCCGAGCGTCTCGACCCTTTGGATCTCACTCAAGTCTCTACCTCGTTGTTCATCCCGTCTCTTGAGCGCTTGTTCCGTCGCGTCTCTCGTCTCTCCTATTCATTTATCGAGATCGATGAGCGAAGCCTCTCTCCTCTCCTCGATCTCTCGCAACGCGTTCAGCTCTTTTCGCAGGGATTCCGTCTCCCCTATTCGTTTGTCGTAATTGACCAGCGAGGTCTCCCTATTCTTTTCGAAGTGTCGCAGAACGTCCACTTCGGTTTTTACATCGTAATACTGTAGGAAAATATTCCGAATCCGCTTGTTCATATCTTCCAGCTGTTTTCGTAGCTCGTTCATTAGAGTTTTCGACTCCTCGCTCCTTACGCGAAGCATATCGTCGACGTAATCCTTGGTCGTCGCGTCGGTGTCGTCGATCGGCGCGTCCAGATGTCGTATCTTGCATCTGTTGACGTCGTAGTTGTCCGGATTTAGGCAGAGCGCGTTGCGACGCACGTACGCTCGTACAGACTCGATCGTCGGACAATCGTTGATGTCGCGCTGCCTCTCCAGAGACTTTCCGAATTTGTTCACGGACATCAAGCCTTCACGGGTGACGAATCACGCGCGATAATCTGTTCGTAATCTCGGCGATTTGCGTATCGTACTTTAGAAACAATCTGGTTACACGCGCCATAGATTCCTCTAATCCGCCGATCGACTTGACCGTCCTCTCGTTTGTCTCCGACAACAATGTTCGGGTGCTCATCAAGAGTTCGTTCGCATAGCTTCTTGTCTCGGAGGTCCTCATCTCCACGTCTTGAAACGCGCTATACTTTTTCCTCGCGGCGTCGTTATCGGTTCTCGATGCGGCTAAATGCCATATGGTTCTGTCTGCATCGTAGTAATCGTCGCTCAGACAGAGCGCGTTGTTATGCACGTAACGACGCAGGGATACGATCGATGGTCGCGAGTGCACACTGTCGCCTCCGCCAAACAACTCTAATGTTCTTCCGAACTTGTTCACCAACATAATGGGAATACCGGCCGCCGCGAGCGCGCGCTGCGTTTACTCGATCGCGTCGATCTCGCAAAGCTCCTCGATTATCAACGAATGCGATCGGGTCAACAGAATCTCGTTGTCGTGAGCGCCGTTGCTCACTCATCGAAAGGCGTGAAGCAATCGAAGACGGTCAACTAGCTTGTTGGGATCGTCTCAGTAAACGTATTCGATTCTATTGTCTCTTACCCGCATAGCGGATGGAATAGAGTCGATCCTTCTTTTTCTCGCCTTACGAGCGCCAATTTTGTCTCTATCGAGCAAAAGCGGCGCGATGATGTGCTTGTACTTGAAGTCTTTGTTCCCTAGAACGGGCATAAGCGCGTTGTGACCACGCCGATGGACGTTCGTAGTATATTCTTGTACGTTTGCTTGTCGTTCTCCGTGTACACGACGTCGTCGGGGAGTCTTTTGAAGATCAACTCGTATAAGTCCGGAGTACCCGGATATCACGCGTCGCTCTCGATCACGCTGTCGGCTACGTCGAATCGCTTGTCGCCGAACATCGAGCCGCTCTCGTCGAAGTATCCCCGTAAACATGATCGATTCTGCTCTGTCTGTCCCCACTTAGAAGTGCGCCCATATATTTGCGACCTAACGGTCCCCATTATGCGTTCAAGATCGATTCCTTCGATTTGCTTCTAATTGTGGGACTAGTTGTCGCGATCGAGAATGATCTTGTCGAGAGGCGTCTCTTCGTCGGGCTCGTCGTCAGTTTCGCGTTTCCTCTTAGCGCCGACGAATGCGATCGGGTCGATTTTCTCGGTCGACTAGTTCTCGGCGATTCATTTCAACAACTAAATGATCGGTTTGAGTCGTTTTTCCCCGATCTCCTCCTCTATCTCACCGGTCTTTAATGTTTTGTGCTTTTTATAGAGTCCTGAGTCTTCGCGATCTCTCACGCCGTTTCTTCCCATCGAGCGACGTCCATACTCGTCATAGCGTCGATGTCCATACTCGCTGTAGCGTCGACGTTCATCTTCGTCGCACAACTGATCGCTCTACATCACGGCGAAATCGTTAAATCCTCGTCATCTACCGTTCCTTAACGCACTATCCTTATGACTATGAAACCGTACCTGCGTTTTCAACACGCGCGATACAAGGCGCAAAAATCCTCGTACGACATATTCGTATTCACGTGCTCGTTGTAAACGTGCTTTAGGTTAGTGCCATCCTGCTTAAACAGAACCAAGAGATTTGCGTTGTTGCGTATCAGATGTTTCGGAATTTTAGCGCATGTCTGACAGAGATAGAAACAATCGATGTTCGAGTGTCGATCCATGGCGAAATATTCCCTGATCGCGTTCTACTTGTCACAGGCCACGTCGTCGAACACGAATATCGAATCGGGAAACGCCTCGCTCGGTGGCACGACGTCGCTATTATTCGAGAATGCGCGATAGCGCGTTCATCGATCGAACAACTCCGCCAGGTATCGATACTTCGATCATTGCAGAGATTTCAAGTAGACGTACACGTTTTCGAAGTACGCCGTGCGGGCTTTCGAGCATGCTTATCAACACGTTTGTTTTACCGCAATTGGAGGGGTCGTAAATGATGCAACATATTGTGTTCGATAGTAGAGTGTCTACGCGCCGTCCCGACCGCGTCGCCCGAGATTCGTCGAGCCTTACGGTCGAGATTGGACACTCCTATAGCCGACGACCGTCGAACAAATCGCACTTACGCGCGTGCACTCGCTTCGAGGAGACATGACCGATAATCGCTCTATTTATACTCGATAGCGATTCGATCGCGCACAGTAATTGATATGTTTCCCCTATTGATGGACAAATTATATTTGTCGATATTTTCAACCTATCCGCCGAACAATTGCGACTTATCCCTCGTGCGCGATTTCGACAGATACGTGGATTTACTGTGACAGACTACCCGATCATCTGAGAGCGGACCTCGAGGTGCAACGTTGTCACGTGTGTCTGGAGCATTACAATCGTCCGTAGCAACGAACGCACATAGACGATCTAGCGCCTCTCATCAAGAACTGTAGCGAATGCTCAGCGACGCGGGATTACTCGATACACGATAAACTTTCCTTCGAATATATTCACGGATATCAATTTTACGGATCCGGTATCCGTCTCGCGAAGCGATTAGCGCGCGGCGAGGCATCAACCCGTTGGACGCAGCGTGCCACGAGCACGACATCGCCTACTCGCGAAACAAGGAACTCGCTGATCGCCACGCCGCCGATCGAGTTCTCGCCGAGAAGGCGTGCGAACGTATAATGGCCGGAGATTCCACCTTCGGCGAGAAGGCCGCCGCGACCGTCATATGGGCGGCTATGAAAGCAAAAACAAAGCTGGGCATGGATTTAAGAAAGAAGAAGAGGAAGATGAGGAGGATATTTCCGACGGCAAAACGCGGAAGCTTGTTGCCCTTTTTTCCGACTACTAGGCGCGATCGATGGCGCGGCGGGCGTCGTGAAGGCGGTGAACGCCGGTAAGGCCGCTCGGCGTCAACTGGAGGAGTTGCAACGTCACAATCGGGCGGTGGAAAGTCACGGATTGCACTTAGCGCCTTACAAATGTCACAGCGATGTGACGAGAAGAACGAAAAAAAAATCGGAAGGAAACGTTAAGGTCGCTCGAGTTACCGCTCTCCGGCATTACGACGAATGAGCAGCTGAGCCGCTCGTCTGCGAATACCCTTCTTCAGAGGAGTGTTTATGCGTAACGCGTTACCGTCAAAGGCGCGATGCAACGAGAGCGGCATCGTGAATCTCGACGACTCGACGGGTTCGGATATTCACTGGATCACTTACGCGAACGCGACACGGTTTACTTCGATGATTTCGGCAATCTTCGACCGCCGAAGGAATTCGAGAGATATCTCGGCGATGACGTAAATATAACGTACAATCGATCGTATCAGACGTACGATCAGAGCATCTGCGGTAATTGTGTTTGCGATTTCTCTCGGGGATCGGTCGCGATGTCGCTGAGCCTTTCGTTCACCGGAAAGCATCCTCACGGCGTGCTATTTTCCCGCCTTAGATTCCCTCTTAGATCTGAGCGATGACGCTTACGAGTTAGGTCTCACGAATTTCGAGACGTACAC